CACACCATGGAAGAAGAGAAGAGAACAGTCTTCCTCAGGCTGTCTTCTCTGTGTGTGCTACTGAATAAATAAATACAATTTAAAATCTGAATGATTAAATTGTAAGTTAAGTCCAGTGGTGTTGGGCTTTCTGTGCTTTGCAGAACATTCAAAGGAGAGCCACCCCAGAATGTAATTTTAGGCTCTCTGGCAGCAGGGAGGAACGGTTTTTATGAACTAACTCTTGGACCTCCATTCAGAAGCATATTTATTGATTGTACACAAAGGTTGTGTTTGGAGTACAACAAGTTCCTCATACCAAAGCCCCTTTTCTACTCACCACATTCTCTGAAGGAAACCATGACACCCTGCAGCTGTCTGCAGTACCCAGTAATGCAAGACCACCAAGTGTGCCTGGGTAGTCTTGTGACCAAGGCCATGCAATGAATGGAAAACCTCCCCAGAAAAACAACTCCATAAATCATGGAAAACAGTCACTGCTCTCGACGAGATTTCAAGGTCCAGGTACTGCCAGCAAACACGGTGCGTTCTGCTCTTACCCGAGACCCGGTGAGAAACAACTAGACTCTAACGTTTACCCTAGCCACAGTGACAGCTAGATTCCCACGACACGGGGCACATGCCTGTCATTTCATCACGTGGGAGGCTGAGGCAGGAGGATCTCTCAGTGTATTAGAGGCCAGCATGTGTCCCATAGTGAGACGCTGTCTTTAATATTCAATGTGTGCAGATGTTGTCTACGTGTATTTCTGTGCATGCCGGGTGATGATAGAGGTCAGAAAAGGGCATCAGATTTCCTGGGATTAGGGTTTCAGATGGTTGTGAGTGCCATGCGGGTGCTATGATTGAATCAAGGTCCTCTGCTAGAGAAGCCCCAAGACTCCATCTTTAAAAAGAAGGAAATTACTTTTGTTTTGGCACCATCCTTCCTCACTCCAGTCTTCAGACAAGTGCTGACCCTAGCTTGGTCCCACAGATCCTGAAAAATCCAAGAGTGGTGTGATGGGGAATTGAAATAAAAATATGTATTTCTGAATAGAAGTACAAAATCTTCTCTCATTTGCAAGGGAAACCACTCTGACTGGCCCTCTAGAACAGTAAGCCGTGTGTTCACACCCATTGCAAAGTGTCATGCTGTTTTATTGCTCTTATGTCATCGAGGGTGCACACATCCTTGGCAGAGACTCTGCCCATTCTTGGACAGGGAGAAATGCCCACCATGTGGCTGCTGACTTGGGCAGCCTCACAGGGAGGACGTGCTCCTGCGGGGTGGGGATGTCCTGGCCAGGCCCTCCGTGTCTTATTTGGTGACAGATATCCAAGAAGAAGTCACATGAAGGAAACGTTTGGTGTCAGACTTGGAGAAAGAGGAGAAAAAGGCAAAAGAAGGACTTGTGGTTGTGACATATAACACAGTCTTGGCTTTCTAACATGCTTTATTTTTAGGCCATGTGGTTTGGTCTTTATTTTCAAAGGAGACAAACACAAGAAGTGGCCTGAAAGCTCATTGCCAAAATACCGCATGGAGACATTTTAAAATAAGAAACATGGGGCGTTAGACATTTGAACAGTACAGAGCTGAAATTACGGTGGCCTCTTTGCTTGTCCCTTACTTATCGTCAAAGCCAGTGACCACAGTCGTTTTCATTTTCCTTCTAAAAGAGAAAAATATTTATGTATATATCAGCATGCGTCTCTTTGTGTTTATATATGCATTATTGCATATATGGATGTCTGCATCTATGTGTCTATATATGTTTGGGTATATGTACATAGTGTAAATATGTTTGTTTTTGTGCATCTATTTGTCTATGCATGCTTATTCATATGTGAATACTAATGGATTACATGAAATAATAAAAATTAAATATAATTCTTTTTTTATATGTATGGTGTTGGGGCTAGAACTCAGGGCCTTCCGCAAACTAGGTAAATGCTCTATCATTGAGCCACATCCTGGTCCCTCACTGGGGTATTCTAGGCAGGTGCTCTAAACACTGAACCATACCTTCATCCCCTCACTGGGGGAGTCTAGGCAAGTGTTCTACCACTGAGCCATATCACAACCCCATGCACAGAAAAAACCCTTTCCTACTAAGTGTGAAGGTATGTGCCTGCAATTCCTGTTTTCTCTAGGTTAAGTCAATCATATCACAAGTTCCAGGCTAACTTGGGCTACACAGTGAGGCTTTGTCTTAAAAGACAGCAGCAAAACCTCTTACCTCTGTAAACAACCAGCCGTAGATATTTTGTTATAGCAACATAGCCTGGACCAACACATCACCTTTGTCTGTAATCATAGTGTGGATATAGAAGGCTGTGTGCTTCCAGGAGGGACAGAGATCCCAACCTTGGATCAAAATGTAAAAGATTCAAGAAGCCTGGCTCATAGTTAGACCTGAGAAAGAACAGTGTAAGCACTGGCAGGGAGGCGACGTGTCTGTGATGCGGAGAGGTTAGAGAATTGTATGCCCGGAAAGACAGTGGACACAGCAACTACTAGAAAGAATAATGTTCCAAGCGCTAACTTCTCCAGCGTAGCTGCAATGAAGCCAGCACCGCCCCCTCAACGACAGCAAAATGTGTTCCAGACTCACTGAGCCCAACCAGTGTATTCTACTCACCCCACACTGGGGCCTCATCTCTCTCCGCCAAACGCTCCAGTCTCCCCGCACTGTAAACAGACAGAGCAAGCCTGCCATAACCACGATCTGGGCTCCTAAATGCATAGTTTGTCCCATCTGGACACCCATGTATGCTCAGACGTCACCCGCAGCCTGGTGAAAGGTAACTTCTCCGTAAACACTGCTCTGTCAAACAAATGAGCCATTCTGTTGCCGCGCTCTCGATTTGGAATGTGCCTAATAAAACCGGGGCCATGCAGCCAAGTGCCAAAGACTCATAAACCCAATAGCAAATATTACGGGTCAGCATTTTTACTTCCCTCTTGAGGGGCAATGCATCTCTGGGTTACAGTGTACAATGTTATCTATGCACAGAGATGAAGTGGAGTGGGGCCGGAGAAGTGGCATATGGGTTAACAACGATTCCTGCTCCTGCTGAGAACCCAAGTTCCATTCCCAGTATCCAGGCCATGCAGCTCACAAGCCCCTGTAATGCCAGCTTCAGGGGATCTGACACCCCTTCTGGCCTCCTAGAGGACCTGCACACATGTGGCACACACACACACACACATATAAAAATAAAGCTTACAGAGAAGAATCGAAGGCGATTTCTCTCCCCACAATCTTCTTCTTTTAAATGTGATTACAGATGGCTATGAGCTGCCATGTGGATGCTGGGAACTGAACCCGGGTCCTCTGCAGTTCTTAACTGTTAGGCTATCTCTGCAGTCCCTTCCCACGCTCCTTCTGAGAGACTTGCAGTAACGTGATGGAAGCCAGGCCTGGAAGTTACGAAGCAAATGCTCTGTTGTTGAGCTCTGCCCCAGCTCAGTGTCTTAGGAATTCAAGAGAGGAAGTGTGTCCTCAGGATTGGCGCCACACTTGCTTCCATATTGCATAAACAATTTTTATACAGTACAATTATGTTTAAAATATTTAAGATTTATTTTTAAGTGTGGGTGCTTAAGGGAAACACAGAGTGCATTATATCTCTGAAACTGGAATTATAAGTAGCTAGCTTTTTTTTTGTTTTGTTTTGTTTTTTGAGACAGGGTTTCTCTGTAGCTTTGGAGCCTGTCCTGGAACTAGCTCTTGTAGCCCAGGCTGGCCTCAAACTCACAGAGATCCACCTGCCTCTGCCTCTCGAGTGCTGGGATTAAAGGCATGAGCCACCACTGCCCGGCAGTATTTAGCTTTTTAATATTTGTTTCTTTAATGCCGGTCTCACTATGTAGTCTTGGTTGGGCTGGAACTCGCTATGTAGATCAGGCTATGTAAACCAGGCTGGCTTTGAACTCAGAGAGCAGCCTTCCTCTTCCTCCTAAATGCTAGGAATTAAGGTGTATGCCACCAGTCTTGGCTATAGGTAATTGTGAATTGCCGTATGGTTGCTGGGAACCCAATTTAGGTCCTCTGCAAGAGCCACCAGTGCTTTTAACCACTGAGCCACCACTCCAGGCCCACTTCCTGTTTTTCCAGAGGTTCTGAGTTGAGTTGGAAGTCTTCAGGAGGGCTGGCTTCAAACTGTATTTCCAGTTCTAGGGGATCATATGTCCTATTCTGACCTCCATAGCACCAGACACACATGGTACACAGGCAGACACACAGGCAGCACACACAAACACAAATACATAATAAAAAAGGAAAGATTTTTTAAAATAACTTTCTACATGTGTATATTTACACGGATCCAGCTGTTCTTATTTTATTCAGGAAGTAGCAGTGTTACAGTCTGTTGCTTTTAACGTTATGCTCAGCCTGGGGTGTATCTCGGTTGGTAGAATGCTTGCCTGGAAGCCAGGGGCCCTAGGTCCCATCCCCAGCGCTGAATAAATCAGGCGCGGTGGTGCAGGCATGTAGTAGCTAGCCCGGATCTTAAGAAGTGGAGGCAGGAGGATCAGAAGTTCAACATTTTGTTTACATAGCAAATTCAAGATCAACCTGGGAAACATGAGATCACGTCTAGAGGTGGGGGTAGAGACAGAGAAAGACAGAGAGAATCAGAGAAAAAGAAAGGAGCCTCTTAGTGATACTCAAAACTCTGAATTGGCTGGTGGGTACCCTTCAATCTGGCTTCTGTGCCCTTATCAGTTCTGTCATTATTCTTTTACTATTTCCTAACTTTCTGAACCTAAACGAAGTTGCAGGCTTACTTTGTTATTTTCCGTGTCCCCCTGCCCACGCCCTACCTGAGAAAGAAAGCGAGGAGCTGACCCTTCGCTTCGTTTCCCATATCTCGACTTTTCTACGCCTAGGTCTCTGATTTCAATGCAGCTGGACCCGCCCTCCGATGGCAGAGGCGATGCTCTAGCGGTTGCCAAGGAGACCGCAAAACCGCAGCGCACAAGGAAGCTATGACGTCACTACCGGAGCAAGTGCAGCCGCCACCATCACATCCTGGTCTTTAACTCTGTCACAGTGCACATGAGAGCGACCTCTGGGCCAGCAGTGAGAGGCGACCTACTCCAACCTGCCAAGTCGCAACCTACGACACTGGGAGACCAGCGGTTGTCAAGGCCACCAGCAGTTCAGGGGAGTCCGCATCACCAAACTCCTTGGAGAGGCCTTGTCCAGGACCTGGGAGCCACGACCACCCAGCTCCAGTTCTGTGGTCCATGTGAGTAGCTAGGAACTTCCAGGGGTGAGCTCAGAGGGGCAGGCTGCAGAAGGCTGGTTCCCCTTGACTGAGTAGGACCAATTGGTTCTGTTAGTAGCCTCACCCGTGAGGCCTGGTTTTCTCATCATCCTCGGAACGATCTCTCAGCACCCTGGATCCTTCTGTGGGTTCTCGAGGCAGCTCCACCGCGCAGCAGCGCGCGTACAGCTGCCTCAAGGAGCTGGGCAAGATGGTATTTGGAGTCCAGGACATTGCATTGTTAGAACATGGGTGCAAGGCCTTGGAGGTGGACAGTTACAAGTCCTTGATGATCCTGGGGATCCCAGAGGACTGTAGCCACCAAGAATTTGAAGACATCATACGGACTCCTCTCAAACCGCTGGGCAAGTTCGAAGTGGCTGGGAAGGCCTATCTGGAGGAAGATAAGTCCAAGGCGGCCATCATCAGGTTGGCAGAGGACCTCAATTACGACGTGGTGCCCAGGCAGATCAAGGGCAAGGGCGGTATGTGGAGAGTGGTCTACATGCCCAAGTGGCAGGACATCGAATTCCTGACCAAGCTCAATTTGTTCCTGCGGAGAGAGGGCAGGACGGTAGAGGATGTGGCCCGCATCCTCAGTCGCGAGCTGTGCCCCACCACAGTAGTTCCCGAAGAGCTATCTTCCAGGGAGTGCAGTCTGTCTCTGCAGGGGGAGAACGCAGACAAGAGGGCCACCACCAAGGCAGATGAGATGCCCCTTCTCAAGGACCCAGAGAAGGAGAGCAAGGCTGAAGAGGGCAAGAAGGGCAAGAAGAAAAGCAAGAAAAGTCGGCGCCAACAGCAGGCTTCTGATAAGAAGCCGTGAGGTGATGTTGGATGACCGTGGATGGGGGATGTGTGTGGCAGGGGGGTGGGAGTCATCCCAGTGGGAACGGGATGACCGTGGGGGGGGGGCACATAGCATTTGGCGCTTAAGACTGAGTGTGGATAGGAGGTGCTGGACCGGTGAGTGGCGACTTTTGAGCCAGAATGAGCGTCACCTGGGTGTTTTGCATGGCATTTGATTCTGCGAAGAAAACTTATTTATTTTGGTCAATGCTGAGAGTTGCATTTGAGCATGCTACTCACGTGCTCTATCAGGAAACCATGTACCCAGCGCCTCACTAGGTGATTCTAGGCAAACTCTGTTAACGAGCTAAGGCTTCAGCATGAGCCTGGTACTTTCATCTGAGCTGACTTGTGGACTGCAGCTGAGTGTGTGTGTGGCTAACATCTGGTTGATGTGGGTCATCTCTTCCTGTTTTGTTTACGCCGCACGTGTCTATTTCATACCTACGGTATCCTGGAATGGCACTTAGATCTTGGAATAAAGAAAGTGGAAAATCCCAACAGAAGTGTCTGTGACACTCAGGAGTAATAATGGGAGTACTTGCATACGTCTAAGGGAGAGAATTTTTCATTTAAGTTTAAAGTTAAGGGATCGTAGATGATTGATTGTGGGACACTTTATTCATTCAACCAACAAAAATTTCTCCAGCATCTGAAATGGGCCAGGTACAGGACACACAGTTAATGATTTTTAGTCTTACCCTCATGGCTCTAATTCTGTATTTGAAGAATTGTAGGTAACATTTGAGACTGTGCAAGGAACACGGAAGTGTGTGTGTGTGGGGGGGGAGGTATTACTTGAGTAAAGGAGAGCAGCTTCTGATTGAGAAGAGTCCCAGAGACTTGTAAAAGACTTTTAGCAACTGGGAGGCCAACAGGACCAGCCCCTCAGAGGGAGCCAAATCCACAACGGTGCATGTGACTGTTGCCACGGAGACCACAGAGGGGACAGGTGCTTGCTAGCCATTGCCTGAAGAGAAGCTCCTTGATGGCAAGCTTTTGAGACCATTTTTGCTAGTCTTGCCAAAACGGGAGCTGACCCCGGAAGAACCTGTCCTGAAGACCCTAGCTGGGAACAAGGGTCACCATTCTGCCATCACCAGAGACTTGATGTTGAAGACAGTTCAGAAGCCAAGGCTGAAACGTGGGCTATCTGTGGGCTCCACTAAGGACTCTGTCGTTCTGCATGTGTCCCTAAATAGCTGTGACTGTTCAATAAATGTCAACTCTCCCTTCCTGAAGGGAGGGTCGGGGTGAGACCCTTCAACCCCGATTGGCACCTGAGGTTGGCATGTATATAAACATCCCCAAATTAAATCCCAGGAGTCATGCCTTGGAGGAAGAAAAACACTCTTTAAAAAAAAAATGGGGAGGGGGTAGGGCAGACTTCCCGTTGAGAGAGAGAGAGAGACAGAGAGACGGGGGAGGGGGGGCGGGGGGGAGAGACTGACTAAGCCAGGCTTAATGGCTCATGGAATCTCAGCACCACTTGGGAGGTGGGAGCAGGAAGATCAAGAGTTCGAGGTCAGCCTTGGCTGTATAGTAAGTCTGAGGCCAGTCTGGGCTACATGGTATTCTGTCTCAATAAAAAATAATTGGTTCTCAAGTCTATAAACTGAGTATTATGTGAGGGTGGCGAAGAGGAAAAATATTGGGAGCACAGCACAAAGGTTCCTGAGCCCACAGATCTCCAGAGAAACCAGGAATGTTGAACACACAGGATTGTCTTTCCAATGGGAAAGATGAAAACCTGTTCTTCCATCCAGAAAGCTGGGAACTGGAAGTGATTAACAGCTTGGTGAGTTGTGTTTTCTGTTGGGTCAGGCCATATCCAGCTCCTATAACTAGGACCAGAGGAAGTTAGTAACCTAAATGACCCTAATAGCCAGAGGCTCCCCCAAGCTCCCCAACCAGGACCAGCGGTGGCTAATAGCCCAAATGACCTCTGTGCTGTCTGTGTGACTGAGACCAGGCCAGATCCATAGCCCCTTAAGCTAGTACAAGTAGTGTACCTCCAGAGCCCTTCTTCTTGGAAGAAACGACACAGATCCTGAGTTGTTGCGAAGTAATCACACTTCCTTGTGCAGTGGGGATTGATTCACAGCAGGGAGCTTTTCCCCCAAATTACACTGGACTTAAATACACTGGGAATAAACCACCTGTTATTAGACTTCCCCAAATCTGATCCACGTTGATGAAGTCAGTCTGCACCAGGTTTTCATTCCTCCCTCTTCGAGGGGTTCGCTTCCCTCTATGACACCTTCAGGGACCCCTCAGAAAAAACAAATAGTGTAATCCAGCCTGGCACAGGTAGAGAGAACACCTACAAAGTTCTACTACTTCAGGGATCTATGAGGGCTCCAGCTGAATTTCATATCAAAACTAATTTATGGGGGCTGCAGAGATGGCTCAGGAGTTAAGAACACTAACTGTTCTTCCAGAGTGCTGGGTTTAGCATCCACATGGCAGCTCATACTGTCTGACCCTCTTACACACACACAGGCAAAAACACCAGTGCACATCAAGTAAATAAACTAACCCTTCTTTAAAAAAATGTAGGTATGTACACACAAAAATTAAATGTTTTGAGACAGTCTTGCTATGCAGCCTATGCTGGGCTGAAACTTATGTATCCCAGGCTGGCCTTTATTTAACTCACGATCTTCTTGCCCCAGTTCCCCCTAGGGTAGGAGTTACAGACTTGCACCTATGCCTATGTATTGATTTTTCTCCTATCTTATAACATGGAGTTGCCATATCCTGTTTGTTTTGGGATACTGTGGTTCTCTATTAGCATCAAACTCCCTCAGCCTCCAGAGTGCTGGCATTATAGATAGGAATCCTTCACTCATCTTTCCCTCAGTGTCTGTGATCCACTGCAAATACCTCTGGAGTGTGGGGATTAAAGGTGTGCGTCACCACGCTCAGGTATGCGCAGGTCTACCTGTGACTTTTCCTTCCCCCTTTTGATTTCTTGGAAGTTACTACCTAATGTCAGAACCAAAGGCTGTCTACCTTTCCATCTGGGACGCCATGCCATCGGAAAAGCCTGTTTCTGTCCATACTACTTATGTCCTCAGGAGTGTCAAGACACTAAAGGGAGTTTCCCAGTTCAGTTGATTGACATAACCTAAAGTCTCAGAGACATTGGTTTCTATCTACTTCCTCTTTCTGGTATCAACCTCAACTTTCTTTTCTTTAGTACAGTGATTAGCAGGATAGAGCTTTTCCTGCTGTCTCCACAAACACTTTTGAACCTCTTACACATCTGTAGTCAAGAAGCTTGTGGCTCTTTTTGCTGTTGAGATGATGTGAGTTTGATCCCCAGGTCCCATGTAGTGGGAGATCTCCACATGAGAGCCATGGGCATGTACACCCACCACAAAACACACATACACACACACACACATACACACATACACAATATATATATATAATTTTAGATAAAGAAGAGATTCTTGCCAGGCGGTGGTGATGCATGCGTTTAATCCTAGCACTCGGGAGGCAGACGCAGGCAGATCCCTGTGAGTTCGAGGCCAGCCTGGCCTACAGAGTGAGTTCCAGGACAGCCAGGGCTACAGAGAAAAACCCTGTCTTGAGAACAAAAGACAAAACAAAACAAAGAAAAAACAAACGAAGAGGTTCCTGGCTCCATGTTTACCATTTTAGCCCTGGCCCTGACGTTGCCACTCTCAGAGCACTGTGTGTCTGTGCTAATTATTACATTAGCCTGATCTTACGTAGATGCCGCACGGCCTCCAGCATGTCTGTCTGATGCATGCTGTTTAACATCAAGGTACAACGGTTGTATAATAAAGGACTATGTGACATTTTTTCTTCTTATTCTGCAGCCTGAGACATGCATGCTTTTCCCAGTATTTCTCATATGGCCACTGTATCTGTGACAGGTAACATGAATCGTTATTAAATGCTGCCCACAAATCCAGACCAGAGACAGTTTCCTCAGGGAGATTGCTGGGACCAGGTGACATTTCCTGACACTGCACTGCAGGCTGTTGTGTGACTGCAACAATTTGGTACCTACTGCGTCCATGCTGCAGATGTCAGGCAGAAATCCCCAAGGAAATTACAGCAACCCTCCCCACAAACCCCATTCAAGAAGTGGGTTTACCCTTCTTTGTTCTTTGTGGTTGATACTCCAGTGTATGCTTATGAACTAATAAAATAAATAAATAAATGGATGCTAACGAAACCACAGTGTGTCCTGAGTATGTTGGGGAGGTGGGGAAGCCACACAAGACTACACTTGGGAAAATTATCTGGTTGCTAAAAAAAATTAGGCCAATGAAATGGCTAAGTAGATAAAGATGCTTTCGACCAAACTTGCATATGGTAGAAGGGGTAAGCAAATTCTCAACAACTAAAAAAAGAAAAATCTCACAAGTGGTTCTCTGACCTCCACATACACGTGTGTGCCTCTCTCCCTCTCTCTTTCTCTCTCTCTCTCTCTCTCACACACACACACACACACACACACACACACACACACACACAAAGGCATTATTTTTTAAATTCCAAACACTCCTTTGATAAGTTTTGCCTCACGATTTAAAAGCGATGGTATCTGCCGCCACTGGCTAGAGAACACTCTCTGACCTCCACATACACGCGTGTGCCTCTCTCTCTCTCTCTCTCTCTCTCTCTCTCTCACACACACACACACACACACACACACACACACACACAAAGGCATTATTTTTTAAATTCCAAACACTCCTTTGATGAGTTTTGCCTTACGATTTAAAAGCGATGGTATCTGACGCCACTGGCTAGAGAACGCGGAACACCAAGCTTTCTTTCACCTGGCTGACTTTCCAGGACCCCAGGCTGTTTTCCAAAGCAGAGGTGAAAGGTGGAACACTTTGTTTAGAATAAAAACAAGTGGTGGAGCGATGGGTTTACTGGGCTGTGATTCCTGTTCTTGGGAGGGGGAGACTGAAGGATGTTTAAGGCCAGCCTTAGCTACAGGAAACCCTGTCTCAAAAACCTTCAAAACCGTGGCTGTTTATGTAGCTCTGTTGTGGACTGCTTGCTTACCTAGCTGATATGCGGGAAGCCTCTGGGGACCATCCCAAGTGTTGCAAAACTGAGGTGGGGGTGCACATCTGTCATTCCATTACTTGAGAGGAAGAGGCGGGAGGATCAGAAAAATCAAGGTCATTCTTGGCTACGTACTGAGTTCACTCTGTCTCAAAAATGAGATGGGGGAGGGAAGATGGCTGACTTCAGAGCACTGGTTGCTCTCCCAGAGGACCTGCCTTCAGTTCCTAGCGCCAAGCGATGACTTACTGCATCTGCAGTTCCATGTCTAAGGGACATACTGCCCCCTTCCACCCCCTTTGGGTGCCAGGTGGGCAAGTATGTACACACACACACACACACACACACACACAAAACACACACACACACACACACACATGCAGGCAGAACACCCATACATGGAAAATAAATTTTGTTTAGAAATTGAAAAAAAATGGAACAAAATACACACACAAACAAACAAAAAATTAAAAACTAAACCAAACCACAAAACAGTGATGGGTCCTATCCTTCAAGTTAGGCATGTGGTTCATTTTTTTAATCCCAGCACTTGGGAGGCAGAGATAGGAGGATCTCTGAGAGTTCTAGGTTAAGCCTAGTCTATCTACATTAGAAGTTCCTGGACAGCCAGGGTTACAAAAACAAGCAACCCCCACTCCAAAAAAAATCTCAAGTTGCTCTTCAGGCAGTCAGACCATCCGCGCTTAATCCTGAAGAAAAAAGGTCTGGCTTATGACTGTGATTGTTCAAAATCAAACTAACGAGAAAGAAGCTAGAAAAGAACATTTTTTTCCTTAAAGTTAAGGAGTCTGGGGATCCTCGTGGGAAAGGGAAGCCAGAGGCAATGAGCAGGGTGAGATACTTTGTAAATCTTGGACACAAAGAACCCTCAGGTCTTCACATTCTCTTACAGAGAGTCAGGGGTCTTGCTCATAGCAGGCAACAGCTCTACCACGGTTTACACTCCAGACCCCAAAACAATCAGAGCAAGACAGGACAGGCAGAGACTCAAAGAGAAACAACGGAATGCGGATACGAATACGGAGGAGGGTTGGTTGGTTGACTCCTCCCAGCTCTCTCAGGCTGGATCTCAGCTGTCTCACCTGGCAGAGGATTTGTGTCCTGCCTTGAGGCAGCCAGAGGGAAGGAACAGTGAGAATCTCCCGTGAAAAGTTTCCTCAGGTCAGTAACTCTCAGACAGAAGGAAGAATGACTCACTTCTCCAGGTTCCTTCATCTGTAAACTATAGCACCACAGTCCCATAATGCCCTGGCATACTTTGGTTCAGATATCAGCTTTTGATTTTATTAAATTCAATTGCTATTATTAGGGATTGAACTCGACCCAGGGCCGTGCTACGTATAGGCCAGCACTCTACCCCTGGGCCAGGTCCCCAGTCCCTAGCTGAGGGATTCTAGGCAGGGGCTCTACCACTGAGCCACACCCCAGCTCCTCACTGGGGGATTCTAGGCAGGGGCTCTACCACTGAGCACACCCCAGCCCCTCACTGGGGGATTCTAGGCAGGGGCTCTACCACTGAGACACACTCCCAGCCCCCTCACTGGGGGACTCTAGGCAGGGGCTCTACCACTGAGCCACACCCCAGCTCCTCACTGGGGGATTCTAGGCAGGGGCTCTACCACTGAGCCACACCCCAGCTCCTCACTGGGGGATTCTAGGCAGGGGCTCTACCACTGAGCACACAATTGTTCTTAATCACTGAATTATCTCTCCAGCCCCCGGGGTGATTTTTTTTTTTTTTGAGACAGGGTTTCTTGTAACTCTCTTTGTAGCTCAGAATGACCTTACCTTCTTGATCCTCTTGCCTCCAAGTACTGGGATCACAAGAGTACACCCCATGTTAAAGTCACTTTTTTAAAAACCTCATGTCTGGTAGATGTTTTTATATTGGTATTAAAATCACTTTTTTAAAAATGTGATTTATTTTTTATTTTTTGTTCGTTGGTGTTTTTCCTGCATGTGTGTCTGCCTGAAGGTGTCGAATCCCTGGGAACTGGAATTACAGACAGTCGTGAGCAGCCACGTGGGTGCTAGGAATTGAACCCGTGTCCTCTGGAAGAGCACTCAGTGTTCTTAACCATTGAGCCATCTCTTCAAATCCTGATGTCACTTCTTTACTTGGCTTTTGTTGCTGTTGAAAATATTATCTTTAATCCTGGTATGGTGGCCCATGCCCTTAAGGCTAGTACTCAGAGGATTGCTGAAAGTTTGAGGTCATGTGAGATATATAGTAAGTTAAGAACTAAGGGTACCACAACACCTCTGTGATCTTAAAGATTCATTTTTGTTTCTAAGAAAAATATTAGCCAGGTGGTGTTGGTGCACACCTTTAATCCCAGAACTCAGAAGGCATAGACAGATGGATCTCAGTGAGTTCGAGGCCAGCCTGTCTACAGAATGTGTTCCAGGAGAGACTCCAAAGCTACAGAGAAACA